TGCACTCCTCCTCCACCCCCACTCCAGCTCTAAAGTAAGATATCATCATTAGGACAGTAGAAACTGGTAAATAATATTTACAAAACAGTTGGTCCCCTACACACACACACACACACACACACAGCACAATGTTACTACCTAGGTTAGAATCCAGCTCCAGATCTCAGGCTACAAGTAGTAGCCCTCATCACAGCAGTTCTAGTACATACTGTACAGGACTTCACATAGACAAAAAATGAAAAAGGACACCAGTGTTAGTATTTTAAAGTGGAGAACAGGTGAAGAAGATAAAGGAAAAAAGGCAAGCAGGACACTGAGAAATCTAATGCCAGGGAAACACCTCTATCACTATACCATGCCACAGGCTTAAACCACCTTGCCCCTTGGGATCACCAGGAAGCTTGCAGAACTCAGACCTGGACGCTGCAGAATCAGAACCTTGGAAAGCCTGCCTGGGAATCTCTTTGTGATGCTCAGCAAGAGATCCGGTCAGTTGGCTAGAGGGCGACCCCTCGTCACCCGCTGCCAGCTTGCACCATCCCAAGCTCAAGAGCACTGCACTCAATGTCTCCTCAAATACAAAGAGACACCCCATCAGGATTCAGTGCAAAACACAGACACTCATCCCAGGAAGCTCTCATCATAGTCTCCAGAGAGCCTGAGGCAGCTACTCCTACCAGAGAACAAACACAAGAAAGTTCACATCCTTTGGCCAATTTTTATTATTATTATTCATTGATATTTTTGTATCTCTCCCGGCTGATCACTGTCACCAGTCAAATGTAAAGATTTTTAATTAACTTTAATCCAGTTACTTTTATTTTAAAAAAATGAGCTCCTTCATTTAGTAGTCATAAAGTATACTGGGACCACGTACACATACTTGTTTTAGAAAGAAGAGGAAAACACTGAAAAATACAGGTGTTTACTAAAAGCAGGAGGGAGCAAAAGAGAACACAATCCAAGAGTCTTGCCCTCCACGGTACAGTTCTGCTTGTGTAACATGACTGTGCTCCAAATACTTGGGGTCTAGAACTTCAAGGTGCCATTTTTGTTTCAGGTGTGTGTGTGTGCGTGTGTGTGCAGCACACTCATGCATGTGTTTCCCAAGTGAAATATCTTTTATTGGTGATTATTAAGATATCACATAATTTTAAAAATTCAGACAATGTATAAAAGTATGAAGAAGAAATTAAGAATTAGCCACCCAATGATAACCAACTGTAAATTTTAAGTATTTATCCTTCCAAACTTCTTTTTATATATACAGACTTTTGTTTATGCCAGTGGGACCAAACTATGCCTACTGCTTTGTAACTAAATCTTTTCACCATACGAACTTTCTGGGATAATAATATATCATCATTTTAAGAGCTACATAAAAGCAACAGGGTTTTATGATTATTCTCTAATTTTCTTTATTGCATATTGGCGAGTGTCCTTGAGCTGTATCCAATATACCATTATAATAAAATGCTGCACTGGGAATTGAACTGAATGTTTATGAAGGAGAAATTCCTAGTACCAGAATTTCTGAGTCAAATGACTGCGCAGTTTTTAAATATATCTTGCCAGATGACCCTCCACAGATGGCAGATGAGAAAAGGTGGTTTCCTTACATGTTCCCTAAACATTCTTTGGTCTCACAAAAATGTTTGTTCTTTTGCATGCTTCTTCAACTCTAGTATTTATGCTTTTTATATCTTTATGTCTTGACATTTTTCATCCATTTGCCTCTGTAATTTTACCCTACTCTTTCTCTCCTCTTCTGGATCTCTTATTAGACACAGAAGGTGTTATCTAAAAATATGGTAAATGTTTAAATTTTTTTTAAAAAAATTATGGATAATAGGAAGTAGAGAGATCATTTTCAGTGGCAAAGAGCACCAAGAGATGGAGGGGGATGAGGGAGAGGGGGGATGAAGGATGAAAAGAAGGAACTGGGATGTGTTTTGTACATGTACCAACTCCACACAAGGCATGTGAATATTATTCACTGCAAACATAGACTAATGAACTAAAATAATAAAAACTTTAAAAAAAGAAAAGAAGTCAGACTGTACTAGATGTGGTGAATAAGGTGGATGAGGAGATACCGTAACAGATTTTTGTTTGTTTTGTTTTTGTTTTTCTGAGACAGGGTCTCCCTATGTAGTTGAGGCTGACCTTGAACTCACTATGTAGCCCAGGCTGGCCTCAAACTCATGGCAATCCTGTTTTAGCCTCCAGAGTGCTGGGATTATAGGCGTGCACCACCACACACAGTAACCATAACGTTTTTAGGAACCTGACTTTCCACTGGATGGCATCTGACAGCAGCACTGACTGTAGTTTTTATAGTACCTCATGAAGACACTCAGGAAAGAGGATTTCTAGAACTGCTTCAAAAAATGATAAGAACTATGGGATAAGTCTGTTTGAAGCAAGGAGAAGTATCTTGAGGGGGGATTAAGGGCAATGTGTCTTTTTTGTAACAAATTTTTAAAATATTCACTGTATTTTTCAATCACTACATATATACTAAGACCTCATTCTACTAGTTATATCTCTTCACCACTCATTCATATTTTCCATCAATTTATCCTCTTTTGCAAAGTGAGAGGTTTTCTCAGATCTCCCTTCCATTTTTGTTGTTGCTGTTGTTGTTGTTGTTATTGTTGTTGTTTTTGGTACCGGGAATTGAACTAGGAACCTTGCCCTTGCGAGGCAGGTGGCGGAACCACTGAGCTAAATCCCCAGCCCTCCCTTCCATTTTATCAATTCTCAATTCACCTGGAAAGTAATCAAACCATACTTTTAAAAAAATATTCGAGTCTACCTCCAACAGCCTATTCTTTATTCCTTGTGTCCAGTTATTTTACTATGTCTTCCATTCTCTCATAACCTATTGATTTTTTCAAATGCTTTCAGTTTCTTTCAGATTATTCTACTGTATCTAGTCTAGAAGTGTTAATTTTACCGCGTGTTGGGTCTGCTGGCTCTCCCTTAAGGTTTTCCTCAAACGGTCTGTGGTATGTGCTAATGAGCTCACAGTTTATGGGGGTTTTCTGTGGTGGGCTATATTCCCTGCTGTGGAACTTTTCCAAGTGGCTAGCCAAGCATACATTGATACTTTGTTGGACTTTTGTGCACAAGTAAAAAACAATTGTTTGAAAGGTTAGTCTGAGACATGTTAAATTGTAGGAAAATTCTTATCCTAGGGAGAGGCAGGCTATTTTAATGACTAAGAACAGAAGCTGAAGCCCTACTTAGGGTTCAAGTCCCAGCTCTACCACTTATCAGCTGTAAGATCATAGGTAAGTTAACTTCTGCGTCTCAGTTATAACATCTGTTAAGTGGACATAACAACAGAGCCTATGTCCTAGAGGCATTAGGAGGATTAAAAAGTTAATACAAGTGATATACGTGCAGCGCTTCGCTTAGAACAGCTTCTTGTGCATAGTGTGTGCTGGGTATGTGTTATGTGTTACTGTTTCTTGGGTGGTGTGAAGGCTCCAGCAGGCAAAAAGGAAAGGTCTGACCAAAAGAGGAAAGAGAGAAGTTGAGCCGGAGGAAAAGAAAAGGTGCTCAACATAGGAAATGAGAGACACCGTTGGACATACTGACCTCCCATTCCACATAGAGAACTTGAGTCTGCCAAGGAAGGATCACCCAGGCTTGCCCCATGGGCGTCCCTCAGTGATACTGCTCTGACAGCATCACTGCATTATCTCCTGGTGTCCCTACAGGTGCCTGGGACAATGTCACTTGGGCAGTTTCCTCAGGCCAGTGGGACCACAGCTTACCTCCCTCTTTCTGTCATTTGGACTCACTGACTCCACTAAAGCCTTTTCCTCCCCAGCAGGGAGTGCAGGAGACACCGGAAAATCTGCTCATTCCCAGAACCACACATGCCGAAGTCTGCTCATTCCAACCCGTAAGTTGAAGCAACCATGGAGTTGAGAGGTCTCAGAAGAATGATGTCACCTCTCTGGATGGAGTCCGCTCCCAAAAATCCATCAAGTTACTATGAGACATTCAAAATGCACCACAGGTATCTCACAGCAGCACACAAACATGACTCATCTTAATGTAGAGCACAAGAGAAATTTAAAAACTACAAAGGATCAAGAAAACTGGAAAAAGAAACCACTAATCTTGACACTATTTGATTGAGAAAAAGTAAAAATCTCAAAGCAATGAAGAGAGCCTGTTAGAGTTTTAAATGCTATTGGGTAAATACCTTGAAATCACCAAGAAAGTATTTGTGTCATGAGAAAATATCTTAACGCTATCTGGCCAAGTGTATGTTACAAATAATAAAACAATGATTATAACTATACTTGATTATTTGTTTTTTTAAAAAAAACCTTTAAAATCATTCATCATTACCTATGTCTTCCCAAAGGTAGCCACTAAGTCCCCTTGCGCATTTAGACTTACAAGATGTGCAATTAAGAATTTTAACTGAAATGGAAAAAAGGAAAATCCATTCCATTTTTTACCACCATTACAAGAAAATAAAAGCATTCCTAGGACATTGTTCCATTTTGTTTAGGTATGATTCAGATGTGGTCACATTATGACACTGGCTTTTATAAAAGAATCGGTTCCTCATTTATTTATAAATAAATAAGTGCATAAGTAAATAAGTAAATAAATACTGCCAGAGGACAAAAAGGTGTGAGATTAGTGAGTTAAGTCCATTTTAAAGAAAAGTAAAGTAACTTGATTGATTTTACCAAAAGCAGTCAATGAATTCCTACTGCCTTTAAGAAAAAAAATTTTTTTTCAACATCACACAATACCCTTTAAGACAGCCCCTGGCACCTCACACTTATTATGCAAAGTAGCAGCATTACGATGGAAGAGAATGACCCCAAAAATCTGCCTTAGTCCTCTGTGCTGCTGTGACAGAATACCACAGTCTAGATAACTCCTGGACAAAAAAACCAGAAATTTATTTCTTAGTCCAAGCTGAAGGCAATGGTAGATTCAGCTGTCTGGGGAAGTTTGCTTTCTGCTCAAGCTGGTGCCTTTGCTGCATCCTGTGGAAGAGATGAGTGTGATATTCTCACATGGTGAAGTATCTTCCACTTGGCCAGGGAGGCAACTACTGCCTAAGCCTTCCTTATAAAAGCATTAATTCCACTGATAGGGGAGAAGTCAGATCATTTCACGGCCTTATTATCTCTTAAAAGCCCCACCTCTTCCCACAATAACACCAGCCTCTAACTTTTAAGACTTGAATTTTGGAGGGGATACATTCAAACTATAGCAAAATCTAAAAGTCAAATTCATATTTTTAAAAAAACCTTAAATCTGCTCCCCGAGCAAAACTTTCAAAAGGAGCTCTGTTTCATAAGAGTGACAGTGAAGGAAAGACAAGATAGGAATAAAGAAATCTTCAATATACACAAGACAAATTTTTTTTTAAAAGGCACTATTAATTCAGCTGTGTGGACTAGGGTGGCATACAGGAGAGGGCGCACCAACATTAAACAGCTAGATTGCAAAGTTCACACTTCCAAAGGAACACTTACAAGGATTTTGTTATATTCTGATTTCTAAAAAAATCTTTCTGTCTTTAATCTATGCAGATAAATTTCCCAGCTACCCAGAGAGCCAGCACCAGCTACCTGATAAATGGGGGTTTTTCTATTCTTATCAGAATTATGGTCATCCACAAGAATATAAGGGAAAACCAACTTGTAGCTAAAGGGCTGTGCCTGTTAGTTTTTTATATAATTTGCACTTCATTCCTGTCTAAAATTTTGGGCCTTTTCCTCACTAATGAAGTGTCTTTCAATTTGCTGTGATTGAACTACCTAATATCTGCTCAACTCTGTTTAAACTGATTGCTACTATCATGAGAAAATTGTGCAATTTAGCTGCAATTTGATTCCAAAGCTTTTTGTTAAATGATACAGGAAGTTCAAATTAAGTAGGAATTGAATTAACTGGAGTAAACTACATAGTTTATTAAAATTCATGGTGAATTTCAAATAATTTCTATGAATTGAAAAAGCTCCTTATGAAATATGTATCTCCAATCTAACCTTGGATAGTTTCTCCTTAGAATACTCTTTCCCAATGAATAATTCAGGCAAAATATTAACAGGATTCATTTTTGTAATACATAAAGAATATGTAGACTCCCAACAATAGCCTTTGTCAGGTCAGCTCCTATAAGGCCATACAGGGAATTTTAGGTCAGTTGCAACAAGTGCACAGAGCAAAGTATTACTAACAATGATATCCACAAGATAAGACAAACAGGATAGCTCAATCAAGACAAAAAGGTTTCAGTGACCACAGAGGAACCGGGTTCATCCCTGGGCCTCTCCCATGGAAGTCACAAAGCCCCTGAAATTAGTTCTTCATGCCTCTCACACACAGAAAGATACACACATATATAATACAAGAAGAAAGATATAATCAGTCTGAAGTTGATAACTCTTCCCCTTCTTTCACCAACAGCTTGAATTTTTTCCATATAAATCAACTAAAAAGTCTTCATGGATTCACAAGATACCTTGCTCTCTGATCTCTCATACTAAGTCTACTAATGTCCCTGGAATGTATATTATTCCCTAAAAAGCTCTGGCAAGAATCTTGGAATCACTGGCTTCAAACAAATGTGACAGTGTTGACAATCTTTAACGACCACAGGTTCCATTTCCTCCTGTTGGGTGCTATAGTTTGGTAAGTTTGTCCCCAACAGAAATCACACAGAGGGCTGGTCCCCAGTGTGACCAGATTAAGAGATATTGGGGCTTGAAGAGGTGATTAGGTCAGTAAGAGGGAATGAATGCTTTTCTCCAGGGATGCAGTCCTTGCTATCTCAAGACTGGCTTAGTTATGGTAAGAGCATGACACCATGAACCCAGCCCTAGCCCTTTCTCTCATACATGTGCTCCTCTCCTACCATACCTCTTCTCCTTCTGCTTCTTGCCATGAGCTGAAGCCTCACAAGACTCATCAGAAGCCAGACAGATGCCAGTGCCATACCCTTGGACTTCCAGCCTCTATACCAACAGAAAACAGTGCATGGAGAAAGCTTCCAGAGGAAAGGAGGAAACAAGTAGTCTGACTTTCTCTGGCTTCCCTAGGATCAGCATCCAAACAAGCCACACTTGACTGAAGGAAGATGAACCAGCTCACCATGCTCAACATTGACTACACAAGCCAGCTCACCAAGAGATCCTGGCCAGTGGAGTGGGGTTATATCTCCCCTAACGTATTGTAAGATTGTGAAGCCTGAAAACATCCTTACTTGAAAATTCTGTTAACCCTCCTTAGCACCAAACACAGTTTAAAATGAACTGTTTCATAAAGACTGAAATAAATGCATAAATTAAAACTTGAATATGACTTTATCAGAATCACCAGAGTTTGTTCTGTGTATTCAGTTTTGTAGATATTCCTACTGACAACAACTGCCTTCAATCAACAAGCTGAATGTATACTGACTCCCTATCACCAACATGTGGTGTCACAGCAGTTTGTGAGAGAGGAATTCAACACTGATACATCATGCCATACTATAATTAGTGTTGTGAATGTACATGGAATACTCATACACTCCCTTCTACTCCCTCTGTTCCAGTAATTATAATTATGCAGTCTGAAAAAGGAAAATTATATTAGAAATATTCCCAAGGACCTCAAGCATAAGATAATTAGAGGACTAAGAAAAGAAAATGAACTCAATCTTGCTTTACTCCACTGGGACCCAGCAAGGCTGATGGGAGTTAGGAGAATAAGATTTTGGAAACTAGAGCCTCTCACTCCTTATCTGAATCTGAAAATGAAATTGATTAAAATTTGAAAATACCATCCCTTTTTGTTTGTTTGTTTTTGGTACAGGGCATCGAACTTGGGCAGGCGCTGGCACCACTGAGCTAAATCCCCAGCCCTACCATCCCTTTTTATATAGCTGAGTTTGGGAGGGAAGCAGGAGGCACAGGAAAGAATGAGGAGGGTGAGAAGCTAGGAATGACATTGCAAATCTAACAGATTTCAGACCACTGTCCTGTGACTGGGGAGGTTATAGTTCCCTAGAGCAAATCACCTATGTGTCCTTCACCACTTTCTCCTGTCCCCACCAAAAGAAGGACAGCAGGAGAGGTGGATTTGCAGCATGAGGAGCTGGGAGAGCCAGAGCAGCAGATGGAGCAGGAGGTAGAGGTGGCCAGATCTAGGACAAGGATAGAAACTAGATGGCCAAAACAGGGAAGGCTCTAGAAGGAAGAGATGGATTTGAAGGTCAAGAATAAAACACAAGCGGTATGGAAAGAACGGATTATAGCACAGAGCCCATGAGGGCCCACCAGCAAAATAAGAGAGTGGAATAAATAATGAAACAGAATACAAAGAGCCAAGAACTCTCTAGAAGGAAAAAGGAAGCAAAGGAAGCAAAAGAATCGATCGTCACACTAATTACACAGAAGAAGCTCAACACCTAAGACACTTAGATTTACACTCAGAAGGTGGGTATGGTTCATCCCAAGGTATGATGTAAACCAACAAGATGTATTTAAGTGCCATGCTGAATGTGACATTATTTGGGAAGTACTTGTCTATAAGGAAGTGTATGTGGGTGGGCAGAAATAGTACCTTTTAATAGCAAATCCTAACTTTTCTTTCTCTCTTTCTTCTTCTACCCCACTTCAAGCAGTAACAGGATGGAAAGACAGGAAGAGAGCAAAGAATCGGAGCAAAACAATGAAATCATTTCAGTTCTATTTATCTCCCTATTTTGTATGTGTACTTCCCAGGACTATTTAAGACAACTGCAACTTTATGTGCCTGAGCCTTCATTATTCATATTGTCCAAAAACTGGACAAGCGTCCTTGCTTTGTATCATTTTTCTAAGAATCTAGGATTCGTAATGACTGTGGCCACAGTGACACAGATAAAAAGAGAAAAATGCACATAGCATTTTAGCATTTCATGAATAATCAGCTTCTAATCCCTGTATTTTTCCTCTAATATTAGTTGATTTGAATAACAGTGAGTTATTTACCATGTAATTTTCCTGAAAATTTAAAATAAAACCAGCACAAAATACTATTAGCCTGTTTAAAGCTCTGAGATCAATGAAGAAATGTGACCTCTTACTTTCCCATTATAAAACAAGAGGCAGGAGACCAGGGATTTAGCTCAGTGGTGCCACGGCTCCTGCGCAAGCTCAAGGTCCTGAGTTCAATCCCCCATACTGCAAAAAAAAAAAAAAAAAAAAAAAAAAGAGGCAGGGAGAAATTTTTTCTATTCTGTGAGATATTAATTTTCTACCTTATAGGTGTGTAAAATACTGGCTTTCACAATGCAATCAAAGTCACTGATTTAATGTGGATGAGGCAAATAAGACAAAATCTCTTTCATTAGGCTATAGTCTCCATTAGCCTGCCCTTAACATTATTCTTATAAAGGTTTAACATTTCAAATACCATGGCTGAATATAGATCATTGGCTAATTATTAGCCAATGTTTTGTTATTACTCCATGTACACAAACAAAAGTGAGCATATAGGCAATGAACAGTTTTTAAAGATTTTTAAATTGTTTGCAAGTTTTCTCATTGCTATTTTTCCAATAAAGAACTGTCTGAAATTCTTTCATAGGAATAAGAAGGTAATTCATAACACCAAATAGATTTTACACATTCATATGGATGGAGAAATCTGGAAAAGTCACCTACACTTACTTTCCTTGTTTCCAGATGAAATTAGGTAAGTCTTGAAGTGAGAAAAGGTGCTTTTGCTAATTAGTAAGACTTCTGTGAAAAACAATATTCCAAGGCCCTGTAGATGGTAATTTCCCTCTAAGATGGTCAATGATCACCACCTCTAGGTCTTCATGCTCCCATGTGAGCCCCTTCCACCATAAGTAGGGCCGCGGTAATAACAGAACATGCCAGAAATGATAGGGAGACTTCTAAGTCTAGGTCACTGCCACTTCTGTTTTAATCTCTTTTGAATCACTTGTTATGGGGAAAGCCAGCTGATATGTCTCAAAATCCAAGTCTCAAAATTCATAGACTCTGTGGTAACTTCTTTCAGTTACAGAATGGAAATGGTGAAATGTACCTTTCAAGGCTATTGTATTAAATGAAATGACATAAAATGTGCCTCAAGCCCTAAAAGAAAACAACTTCCAACCCAGATTGTTGTATCTGGCAAAACTATCTTTCAAAATTGATAGAGAAATATGATATTTCCATGAAAAAGACCGCCTGAAGAAAATCATGACCACCAAACCAGCACTCCAAAAAGTTCTGAGGGATATTCTAGAAAGAAGAAATGAAGACAACAATTTCAAGAATCCCAAAAGATTTAATCCATCAGGCAAGGCAAACAATTAAACAGAAGGGAAAGAAAGGGACCAACAACAGGAAAATAATATAATGACAAGGATACCTCAATACATATCAGTTATAACCATCAATGTGAATGGTCTCAATTCACCAATCAAAAGAAAGAGATTTGCAGAATGGATTAAGAAATAAGATCCAACAATATGCTGAATATAAGAAACACATTTAGGGCTGGGGATTTAGCTCAGTGGCACCGCGTCTGCCTCACAAGCACAACGTCTTGAGTTTGATCCTCAGTACCAAAAAAAAAAAAAAAAAAGAAAGAAACATTTAATTAAAAAAGAAATTCATAGACTGAAAATCAAAGGATGAAACCCAATAAGCCCTGCAACAGGAACCTGCATAAAAGCAGGGGCAGCTATTCTATTTGGAGACAACATGAATTTCAAGCAAAGACTGATCAGATGGGGCAAAGAAAGTCACTATATTCTTGTCAAGGGAACAATCAAGGAGGAAGAAATAATAATCATAAATATATACACACCAAACACTGGCACATCTAACTTTATAAAACAAACACTAATGGATATGAAAAATCATATAAGCACTATTAATATAATAGTAATGGGGAACTTCAATACCCCGTCACAAATAGATCAACTAGATAAAAAAATCAACAGAGCTGAACCAAACCTTTGAACAAATGGACTTAGTAGATATCTACAAAGTGTTCCACTGCACAACCACAGAATACACATTCTTATCAGTTACACATAGTACTTTCTCCAAAAAAGACCACATACTAGCTCACAGAACATGTTCAATTAAATGCAAAGGAAATGAAATTATTTTATGCATATTACAAGTTCATAGTGCAATGAAATTGGAAATCAATAGCAAAAGAAACCAGAAACACTACATAAACACATGGAAATCAAATAACACCCTCTTGAACATCCAATGGGTCACAGATGAAATTAAAGAAAAATCAGACAGTTTGTACAATTGAACAATAATGCCAATACAAGATACCGGAACCTACGGGATGCAATGAAAGCAGTCCTGGGAGGGACATTTATACCAGTGAACTCCCAAATTAGAAAAACAGAGCAAGCTCAAGTAAATAACCTAATGCTGAACCTCAAGCTTCTAGAAAAAGAACAAGCAGAAATTAATGCGATTGAGACTAAGAAAATGATACAAAGAATCAATGAATTGAAGAGTTGGTTCTTTGAAAACTTAAATAAAACTGACAAACCCTTAAACAACCTTATCATAAAAGGGAAAGAAAAGGCTCAAATCCACACAATTAGGAATAAAAACATGAAATCACAATGGATCCTACACAAATCCAAAGATCATCAGTACCTATTTTGAGAGCCTTTAATAAGATGGAAAATTCAGAAGAAATGGATAGATTCCTAGATATATCTGAATTACTAAAGCTGAGTTAAGAAAATATAAAAAGTCTAAACAATCCAACATCAGTCAATGAAACTGAATAAGTAATAATTTTTTTTAAACTACCAACAAAGAAAATCCCAGGTCCTGAAGGATTCACTGCTGGATGCTACAAAAACTTTAGAGAAGATCTAATGCAACTACTTCTCAAACTCTTTAATGAAATTGAAAGGGAAGCAATACTCCCAAACTCATTCCTGGAAGCAAGCAATTACCTTGATACCAAAACCAGAGAAAGAGAGTTCTCTCAAAAAAGAGAACTATAAGCCAATCTCTTTAATGAACAAAGATGCAAAAATCCTTGATAAGATACTGGCACATAGAATCCAGCAAATCATCAAAAATTTATACATCATGACCAAGTAGGATTCACTCCAGAGATGCAGGAATGGTTCAACATACACAACTCACTAAATGCAATACACCACATTAACAGAACCAAGGACAAAAATCACATGATCATCTCAACAGATGCAGAAAAGGCATTTGACAAAGTCCAACACATATTCACAATTTTTAAAACCCTACAGAAAGTTGGAATACAAGCTCCTTATCTTAATCTGATAAAAGCCATCTATGACAAACGAACAGCCAACATCATACTAAATGGTCAAAAACTGAAAGCTTTCACTCTAAAATCAGGAACAAGACAAGGATGCCCACTATCCCCACTTCTGTTCAATATAGTTCTGGAAACATTAGATAGACCAATAAGACAAGAGAAAGAAATAAAACGAATATGGATAGAAAAGAAAGAAGTTAAATTATCATATTGATAACATGACACTCTACATAGAAGACACAAAAAATTCCATCAAAAGACTCCTAGAATTAATAACTAAATTCAGTAGTGTAGCAGGATACAAAATCAACACTCAAAAATCAATAGCAGCCGCCATTCCACACTCCTAGGGCAGAGAAGGTGAGCCAATCCCAGTGCCCGGGAAAAGGCTCCCCCGACGCCATTCCACACTCCTAGGGCAGAGAA